TGTGGTGTCCTGGGCAGAGAGAGGAATGGAGACTTGAATCCTGTCCCACCCCGGTTACGAAAGAGGAACACATCTAATGTGCCCCGATTCTTCTGTCCACTGCCACCAAATGTGAGCTTTTTTTTTCCTCTTGATTTTTCTTCTTCAATCTCTCACAGTCCTAATTACATTTCTTCCCCTCTGAGAGATCGTTTTCCTCCTTTCATTTTCGCTCCAGTCCCCATCTTTGTGCCAGATCGATACCAGATTCCTATCCAAATCACTCTCCTCTCACTTTCTGTGGGTTTTTTTCACAATTATTCCCTATCTTTCCTGTCTGAACTTCTTTCTTTCCCTGGCCACCTTTTAACTCATGTCTTCTCTCTTGGGTTCCTCATTTGTCAGTGTCCTTAATCTTTCTTCTTCTACCAGTCTCTGGGATGAGCTTATCTTTTCGCTCACCTCCTTTTTTCTTTTTACCTAATTTCTCAGGAAATCTGTCTTTAGATTGCCTCTCGTCTTCTCCATACCAGTGGCATCCAGCCTCTTAACTCAGCCAGCCCCCGTTCCCCTCCTATATTCATATAGGAATCGGTGCCCCCTCAGACATGCGACTCCTCAGCCAGTTACCCAAACCAGCACGAGTTCAGCTAAGGCTTCTGCCCAGACTCCAGGCATGCCTCCGAGTTAATGACTTGAGTTAAAGAATCAGCATTAACTTTGAATGTTCTGGCTTTTGACTTTTCTTTTCACAGCTTGACATTTTTGTAATGCTTTGTTTTTCTGGTACTTCAAAAAAACAGATGGGGAATAGTGTCGCAGCAGAATGGATAACCCTGGCTTTGGCAAGTCTGCCATCCCATTACCGTGGCTCTCCAGGGCTGGTTAATGGTGTTGTCCTCCGTTGTCCTGGAGCATTGTCCCTCCTGGTGCCACGTGCCAGAAGAGCTACCATTCGGCGGCTCATCCTGAAGCCAGCTTGGCCACCTTGGATAGGTGCCACCTTGGGTAGGTGGCAGCCGTAGACAAGCCTCTCAGCAGGGAACACTTGGCCTGCCAACGGTGCCAAGGAACAACAACAAAAAAAAGCCAAATAACTGAGGTGACGTGCTGAAAGGCAGCCAACAGCGAAGGGTCAGCCCATGGGCAGAGTGAGAATTGATTCACTAACCTCCTAGATGCATCTCACTGATTTTCTGCAATACCTTGACAGAAACCAGATACTACAGTGATAGCTAATTTAAAGGTATCAATAGACAGTCACACTCCAATCTCCTGAATCCCAAATATTTTCCGTAGTCACACGATCACCCCTCCATGCCCCAGCTACACAATATGCTTAATCTGTGTGGTATCATACGCGTTTTCTTTGAACTGTGACAGATTGGGGCCGTGCGACCCATTTCAAAGGTACGATGCAACTTAGTAAATTCTAGGAATGATATCCAGTAATTACATACATGGATGCAACTTTGCACAAAGGCTTTTTTTTTTTATGAGCAGTGGAGATTTGCTAAAGGGATGTAGCTCTGATAGTCACCACTGGAGCACCACGCACCGTATCTCACAGGTCAGCAGGAGGCTGCGTAGCTCCCCCATATCCATATCCCATCTCAGCTGCCTAGAAGAAAGAAATGGAATTAAATATGCTTGATTTGAATGCCATCATCAGGATGTTTAAAATGGAATGGAATCAATTTGATCTGGAAAAAAAATATGATAACATGATCGGGGTTTAAAGGTCCCTCTGAAATGCAATTAAAGAGATACTATTCACGTTGTGAACAGCACACCTTTAATCTTAAACTATTTCCGAAGCTCCATATGTGCGGGTTTTTGCTCTGCATTTGCAGGAAAGTTCCAGCCTAGACTAATAATATAGTGGCAGTACTTCACAATGCTCTCCAACGTACAGAAGTAGCTATTAAACTGTCAACAGCACTAAAAGATGATATTTTGATGGCAATGGATAGGAACCCCATCTTCCTGCCCGTGCTACTCAACATTTCTCTAGCTTTCAAGCACAGTCAACCATAATTTGTCACTGACTTGCATACGTGACGTTGGCTGAATAGGTAGACTGAGCTACAATCGTGTCAATCAATTTTTCAGGCAAAACTCACATAGCATAGAATCATAGAATTGTTTAGGTTGGAAAAGACCTTTAAGATCTATGATTCTATGATCATCAAGTCCAACTGTTAACCTAACCCTGCCATCCCACCACTAAACCCTGTCCCTAAGCACCGCCAATAGACAGCTATTCCCTTTTCCTTCTCTGTACTTCTTGCACTCATTCCTGTTCACCATCTACCTGGAGACCTCTAGAGAAGCTGCAGGACATGCCAACTTCATTGCTGAAGCTGTTCTGCTGATATTGACCTGCATAATCCCCTTCCACAGCTGCAGCCAGAAATATTATACATACAGAATGAAAAGCAAATTCGGTTTTGGTACATCCTGCAGCGAAATGTTTCCCAGGACTGAGTTGACCAGTATCTGCCCAGTTATCTTAGAATCATAGAATCGTTTAGGTTGGAAAAGACCTTTAAGATCATCAAGTCCAACCGTTAACCTACCCCTGCCATGCCACCACTAAACCCTGTCCCTAAGCGCCTCATCTGCCCGGCTTTTAAATACCCCCAGGGATGGGGACTCAACCCTTTCCCTGGGCGGCCCGTTCCAATGCTTGACAACCTTTTAATTGAAAACATTTTTCCTAATGTCCAACCTAACCCTGCCCTGGCACAACTTGAGGCTGTTTCCCCTCGTCCTATCGCCCGTTACCAGGCAGAAGAGACCGACCACAACCTCGCTACAGCCTCCTGTCAGGTAGTTGTAGAGGGCGATAAGGTCTCCCCTCAGCCTCCTCTTCTCCCTTTCTGCCTAACTTTTCCTTTAATCTTGCACATATCCTAAAGGACATTTTCAACATTCAGTGCAGGTGAAGAAATAGCATTATCTTAGGTGAAAACATGTTATTTGGCCATTGTTAGAAGTCCACCAGAGGGGGGGGAGGGTGTGACCTCAGCAGTGATCTCTGTAATCACCACCTTGAAACCCTACTGCACCTGCAATCTGGAAGAAACAGCAAGTTCTAGTTTGTGCCAAAATCTAGCAGACTATCACAAATGCTTCTGTTCCTGCTACAGTTCTGAGAGGGTGATTAAAGTCTTGAAAGTCATTCAATCCCATCTACATCAAAAATTGAACAGGGCTGTGCTTTTCCCAGTCTAAACCAGTCTAGAATAAGAATGTCAGAGGCAGAAATAAGCTTTACCTAAAAGATCTCAGGCAAAATTAAATGATTTCATATTCTTCTGCTTCTAATTGTTTTTTCTTTCTTGTCTTAACTGGAATGATGAGAAAAGGGGGAGAGGAAAAGTGTGTCCACCTGTGTTGTTTTAGAAAGGCTCAGCAGCAAACATTCTGAAGTCTGCCATTAAATGGTCATCAGCTTAATTAATGTTACAGTGTAGTAGTTCTCTGGATGACATCTTGACATCAATGCAATTTGGTTTTTTTTATTTAAAGATTACCAAAATCACTATACTCAATTGATAAGAAGATACGTACTGTAGACTTCATGTAGTTCATGTAGAAATACATGAACACAATACAACACTAGGAGGATTTAAAATCTTTTGTTCTAATGTTCTCGACATTTAAAGTCTTTATGCCTCTTCTGAGTCCAGTAAGTTTTTGTTATTTGTTTGGCAAAAAACATGTCGTCTAGGAAGGTATCTGGGAAGTGTAGGGGTCACTAGGGTACTCAGTAGACTTTTGTAGTAGGTAATCACCTTCTCCATCAGAAATACATACCTCAGAAGTACTTCTAGTCTTGGTATTTTCTCCTTGTAAAGCCTTTTGTACATGGTAGTCAAGTTAACTCTCACTATCCTTTCTGACCACAAACCAGCTTGAATCACATCCTTTTAAGACCTTTTTCCTTAGCGAGTTCAAATAATTTCTGCGGCTATTTTCTCCACTCTCTTATTTGCCAGTGTCCTATTTAGAATATGGATACCAAAACGAATACAATATTCCAGTGCTGCTCCTAGCAGTACCAGATAAAATGGTAAAATCTGTGTTTATACTTCCCAATAATGCATTATATAACTACGTAAGTAATTGATTAAAAAAATCTTTCATTGTGTTCAATTATTAGCTTTGTGATCAAGCTAATCAGAATTATGATTATTTTATCGTTATCATTTTCAGTTATTGTAGATTTCTAGACGGTAAACATTGAGGAATAGTGCTGTTGTTGATTATTTTAAAAAACTTTAAATAAAAATTAAAATATCACATTGAAAAATATCACCTTCCAAATTCCATTTTAAAAATGACACTGCAATGTATGACTTTTTTTTTTTTTAAAAAGTAAATGATAAAGTTGCTGGATTGCATCGCAGGTTTTATATTTCCATATCTTGCATTTTATTTATGCAAACATTTTGGAAGCCAGGTGTTAGCTATTTAGCAGTCCAAGAGGTCATTACAGAAATATTCGCAAAACCACGTGCGAGCGGCGTACTCGGAGACTTCCTCTTAACTTTCCTCAAGAAGCACTCAGAAACAAAGAGCCCAGCTTCAATATTTAAGTCAAGAAAATGAAACATTCATGTGCTGTAGCTGGATATTGGTGCTGTAGCTAAATGATCCTCGCCTGCCTGCCTAAGGTTGGGGATGCACAACTGAATTTATATTCTGGCCGTAAAAACCTGCATTTAGGGACACAAATTCTAACCAATCAGACTAAATAAATCAGCAGGCCCAGGTTTTATCATCGCAGATAACCCTCATTAATCCAGCAAGCTTTTTCTGAAGACAAAGGACAAAATGAATTGCTTCATTGGAGTTGCCTGAGCAGCATGCTAATGCGGGGAGGTGGAAGGCATGAATTATTCATGCTCTTGCAGCCTGAGCAGGCAGATCCTGGCTTTTCCTGTTACCACTGCAACAAGTGGTGGCTGGCCCAGCTACGTTTGGGCCATCGCGCGTCCCTGGAGAACGTCGAAATGCCTTCTGGAGAGGGCAAACCTCCGCACCTCCGCTGCGCCCGACACAGTCGGGTGGATTTTCAGGTTAAGCCCTATGCAAAATGGACCCGGGAAGCGCAGTCTTTTGTAACTCAAGTGTACTTGACCATAAACTACTCTTCTTGGAAGAAAACAGGTTGCTTCGGTAAGTTTGTGCAACTTTTGATGTTTTCTGAATCCGCTGTAAGCTCTCTTCAGTTTACAAGAATGTGCAGCGTTTACCAGTCTTTCTAAAAATAGCCTGTGTTCTTTTTGCTTTTAAAAGGGCTTAGAGAAGCCGAAAAAGGCATGCAATATCTTTATTTTTAACTCTAGAAAATATGTAAGCAGTACCTACAGAACTGACACTAAAATTACAATCAAGCCTTCTTAAATTAACTTATATTATTTACATTTTCAAGTCCCTATAGCACGCTACTAGAGCAAAATATATTTATGCCCCAAGTCTGATTTCTGGCAACCAAAACTGAGAGTAAGGTAATTCGGTGTCAGACTGGAGAATCTGAATGACCGTGTGTTACTTTTCGTGAGAAATGTTGGTTCCCTGCTGTAAGTGTAACTTGTGTTGTTGCTCGTTATTCAGCTAATTACCTTTCTGACTGGGCTGGGAAGAGGAACTGAGACCTGCATAACATTCTTAGCATGTATTAACTATTCTGTTGTACCAGAAAATAGTTGAAAAGCACTGGTAACTTAAACAATTTTTCTAAGGATAGGAAGGAGATGATATATTTTTTTTTATGTAAAGCGTATGGCAGTGATGAACTCAGGGTAGACTCTCCACATCTTTGTAAAGTGAAAAGCATCAAGATTTTTTGCTCTATTTTTCATTATCAGCATACCTACATGCAATATTTGTTTCAATTGTCTGATTTCTGTTATTTTCCAGTAGTGATACTACCAGCGTTGCCTGAGAACTCTCAGGTAACTCACTACTCTTGGCACAGTTATAAAATTAATATAAATAATCAGCTCCCAAGAGCAGAGGCCATGGCTAGGAGCATGAATATGAAATGAATCATGAATAAGTTTTGATTGTGGATAACAAGCTCTCCCTCTTTTTATTTGTTTGCTTTTAATTACATAGTCCAGATTCTGCTGCTTCTACTTTATTTTCTTTGTTTTGATCATAAAAACATTTTATTTGACATCCAAAAGACAGCCAAATTTTGAAGGGATGAAAGTACAGCATAATGATATCTAGCGCTAACAGTAATTAAATGCCCTATGTTCTAAGAAAAAAAAAAACAAACAAACAAGAGGTGAAAATAGGGATATGTAAATAACTGGAGATACGCAAACAATGGATGTAATCCTGCACGCCTTAATCATGGGAGTAATCCTTATTCCTGTAAGTAATCCTGTTGGTTTCAATAGACTCACATCGGTAGGTGCTGTAGCATAAGGCCCATATTTTTCAAGGAGATAACAGTGTCTGTTTTACCTGGTTTTTTTTCCATAATGTTACTTTAGCAACACGGTTTTTAGTGCTGTGTTTGAATGCATTAGTGATAATATTAAATTAGACTTTACCAAAGGTCTGGTTTGCTTCTAAAAGTAAAAAAGAGAAGAATGGACTAATGTGTTAAATGCGTCGGTAAGAAGGTACAAGCCCCAGGTATTTTATTAGAGGTGAGCTTGCAGTGGAGTAGCACTGCTCACCCTGCTGACTGTGTTTGTAGGTTACTTTTTGGAGCACGAGGTATGTAAACGTCACCTCTTTTAGGACAGGATGCAACTTATAGCAAAAAATCACTGTGCCACCTGATGTCTCATAAAGTACATTTGGGCCTCCGTAAAAGTGACGTTGATAAATATCGTTCATCTTTCTGACTGAACTACATGGGGTTGGTGGTAACATCCCGTGAATGTTTTTATTGCTGTTACAGTCTCCAATCTTGCCAAAATAACACCTGCAGTTCTGACCTGGGAATAACGTGTTTGTATAAATGTTGCTGTTGTGTTGCCCTCATCAGCCCAACTCAGCACTTCTGAGCTTTCTGCCCCAAGACCATATAGCGCTGCCCTGGAATCCAGGATGGGTCTTGGAAACACCTGTGTGCCCTTCCCCAGGCAGTGCATCTGCTAACGAGGGAAGCTAATTACTTAAAAGCTTTTGGGGTTGAGAAGTATAAATAGTCATGAACTGGTCCTGGTGCTCTGCAAGCCATCAGCCTGGGTTTGTGCAGGTGCTGGCAATGGCAGGGTGGATGCAAATGTTACCCTGCAATGGTTGCAGTCCTTGCTGTGTTAAGATGCTTCCTCTGTGGAAATATTCTCTTGTGTGCACCCTGAAGACTTAAAATAGAAACGAAGCAAAAATGCAGTGGATGGTGGTTCCAGATGGCACGTGAAACTTGCAGTTAAATGAAGTTGGTATTGAGTACCTGTTGGCTTTTTATTGGTTGCATTGAGATATTGAGGATGAACTGATTATGCTGTACTTGGCTTCGATATATAGCAGAGATTTTGGTGTTTGTATTTGTAATGAGGTATGCTATATTATTAGTATCTATTTGCACAGAGATATCATTGAGATGTCACCAACGGTTTAAAGCTGAGGCTATGTGGCTGTAGAGTGCTGGAGGCAATTAAATGACCAGTGCCAAAAGGCTGGAAGGGCAGACTGGCAGCTGCTGCTAAGGAAGAGCCTGGAGGGGCCCTTGGCAGCAGTGTTTCTTTTTTCTTACTCCATGCAGGGTCCCAGCAAGAGCATTAAGTCTCTCCAGGTAAGTCCCTTTCTTCCCCCTGCCCATGGCAGGAGCAACACAATTCGTAATCCTTGGACAAAGCTACAAGGATTGGTTGTACATTAACTTCAACTCTGTAACCAGTTTTGAGGGTACTTTTTTCTATACCCATTTTCCTTTGTTGAATTTGTGCAGTATTTTTGTTCAAGGATCTCCTTGTGGCAATAGGCTGAGTTCAGGTGCCCACTTTAATTTTTATTACTTTTTGTGGGTTTCAGAGATGGCTGTTCATGCAAATTTTTTGAAAACTCTTTAAAATGTGGCCCAAAATATGCTTTAAAATGGTTCAGCTCATTTTGCATCAAAAAATCATGTGTGTGGCTGTTTAGAACAGCCTGATTTGTTTTTTTTTTTTTCGTTGTGCACACAAACTAACTACAGTAAGAGGTGTTATCCATAACCACTGACATGTCATCCTCATGTCTCTCTTCATCAGAGGATGTCTGCGTCTCCTTTCTCCCCATCCAAGACAGAGAGCAAGGGGGTGCATGCTCTCTGCTATTTCCCCAGGTTAGAAGCTCTGTGAGAGCAAAACTATGGGCGTGCATGCTGTGAGTGACGGTAAGAGCAGGCTCTTTGTGGTTTGGCAGCATTCCCTCCATTGCATAAGATATATTTTGCTGCTTTTTTGGGGTTGGTGACACCGAGGTAGCACATTGTGGCATTGCTATGGCTGATGGACTTTGCTGTATCAACGTGGAAGTGTGCTGAGGTTTCCTACTTAGGCCTTCCATTGCAAAGCTTGTAAAGTGGTAGTTAAGCTGGAATAAGGTATTTGAAACTCCACTGACCTCCAGTTCCAAGCCCGAGTAGTATACAAAATAAAAGGCATGTTCTAAAGTACAGGTAGAGGAAATTTTCTAGCTGTTGTTTTGCAGCTCTCTGGCAGCCTGTGGCAGGGAAAGCAGAAAGACTGGAAAAGCTAGTGTGCAGCCCGCACAGCGTGCAAATTGAGCAAGGTCTGGGAATGTGGCCCCGGGGAAGCCAAGCGCTGGCTGAACATCAGCCGTGCTTTACTGGTCCTCCAGGTCACAGACACGTAGCAAACTTCAGCTAACGTAGGGCGATGTGGTCGCTGGCTGTGGAGTAGAGCCTGGAGCAGGAGATGTGTCCCATGGTTCGGTATGTCCTCATGGTGGGACTTGCCACATGTGTTGTGTGTAGGACCTTGGGGACAGCAGTGTGTGACCAGGAACCAGTCCCCAGCTGCGGGAAACCACAAGACACAGCGGGTGACTCAGTTTGATCTTTAACCTTAACAAAAGACTAAACCAACCAACTACCTTAATTGTATGCTTTTATTACTAGCTGCCTAGCGGCTTCTAAGGGGAAAAGCTGAGCTGGTATGACTGATATTAAATAGGACACCACCACAGGTAAAATGACAATGCATATGGGGTTCTTGTAATAAAGGTTACTTGTTCTTTATCTGTTCCTTTGCTGTAAATCCTGTTCTGTGTCTGAGAGCAACCGGGCCTGGAGGAGCAGCAGTCCAGCCCAACCCCAGGCTGGTATCTCCCCAGGGCATGCTTCAAGACTGTTCTTCTTTCATACAATATTACTCTTGTTTCATGTGACATTTCTGTCTCTGTATCTCTCCAGAGAGGGAGAGGTGAGCAGAGGACAGTCACAATCAAACCTATGTGTGTGGTCCCAGGCCCAAACCTGTCTCACATGACAATCAGTGATGTGCAACATGCATTAATCACAGTTGTGTGATGGTGTAGGACGTCAGTCATGCTCCCCACAGCATGTAAAATTCATGCACAAAAGATTCATCCTCAAGTTTTGAATTGCATAGTTCTTTGGGAAGTGCATTTCTTCCTCCTGGTGGGATAATCAATTCGGGAATTGGCTGAGCTCCTGAGCAGTTTTTGTTTTGTGTACACCCAGTAGTGACACCTAGTGATGTCCAAGGAGGATTTGATTTCTTGAGCAGAAGAGCAGGTAGGGGGCAAGAGGAGAGAGGCCCAAACTCTTTTGTGGTTGAATGGCAGATGGTGAAATCATTCAGAGCTACAGAAAGGGAAGTTCTGAACCTGAATGTCAGCCTTAATGTATTTAAATGGCAACTACTGAACTGTTACCTAATGGTTGACAGTAATTACTAACAGGCAGAAAGCAACTGGTTTTATAACCTGCAGTTGAAGAAATCTAAGCTGTAAAGTATATCGAGGGTCCATGCCCCAGCCTTGCCATGTAGCCACGGCTGACAAACGAAGCATCTCCTCTGGATGTGAATTAGCTATAGTAGATGAGTAAAAAACACTGATTGAAAAGTTTTTATTTCACAGCCTTCAGGAACTGACTTGTCTATAGTCCGCGTCGCTGTATTGTGCTGAGTGCAATTAGCTGGAAGAGTGTGTTCGTTTTCATGCATTAGTTGGCAGTGGTGTCTTTCAAAATGATCTCTAGCATTATGAGCAGTAAATGATGGTATGCTTTCAAAGGTTAAACCGTTTGATTTTTTTTTTAATATAATTTGCTCGTGTTCAGAGAAGCTACATTAGGAATGTTATTAGACACTGGAGTCTCCCTCTAACCATTCGGGTAATAAACAACTGTTGGAAACTGTTTGATATTTCCATGGTTTGAGGCATCAGTGGCCCCAGAGATAAACATGTTATCTTTCCACCAAGTCTTTAATTGTTTCCTGAGTTGATAAAAGAGTTAATCTATTACTGGCAAGATTTTCACTTCAGTTGTGGGTGAATATTAAAACCCCTTTTGAGCTCCTGTCAAAATCAAGTGATCTGTGTGAATTACTCTGAATAATACTGCGGTGTTTTTCTGTAGCAACCACTTTGTCATTTTTGCTGTTTTCACTTTTCCTGGCAACGTGTTTCGGAGGGCTTTGTTCTCACCACCAAATTACGGTTGTGCCCCCCTCCTGTGGCTCTGACACCTGACAGTCCACCAGGAGCAACTGGGAAAATTGAGCATAAACTCCTGTTGGGCATAAGGTGATGACCACCATGCATAATCTTTCCTCCACGCCCTGCAAAGTACGCACAGCCTCTTGCTAAGTGTTGTATCCTGACTTGGTGGTGGTGTATTACCATTAATAATTGGGATCCTGCCTAGGGATGCATCACAAACAACTAAAAATGCATCTTTGCCTTTATATAAACCTTTCCTGATGATTAAAGACCATTGGTGCAGGCTTTGTAGGGA